TAGAGTTCAAGCCTATTGGGTTCCTTAAAAACAGTTGTTTAATAGTCAGAAATTTCTTATGGTATGTGGTGAGCATTTGTACAACTCTGGTGTGTGAAACTATCGGAATATATGACTTTTTGAAAGTATTTTCAACCTTTTTTGCAACTATTTCTATAACCTCTTTATTCCTAGGTTCATAGTTGTTGCCTCGGAGTCGCCCTATACGAAATCTTTCAAACTGATAACACAAAAGAACATCCTGGTAWGTAGGTAGCTGGGACTCAGAGAGATTGTATGGATATATGCCAAACACAGGACATTTCTGTCTAAATTTAAATTTAGATACAGACATTTTGAGTTCGGTGTTCTGTTGAGAGAATATATTAGATAGCACTCGGCGAAATCAACGACAAGAGTGAAGGAACTCGATGAAAAAATATTTATGTGGAGACCTATCCGAACGTGTCGTATGGCGTAGGTGAATGAATGTGAGTGATAGCACTCGGCGAAATCAACGTCAAGAAGTGTGGCCGCAAGCCGATTTTCACCTAGCGCTGTGGCGCGCCGCATTTTCGCTCATATCTCGGGAACGGTCATAGTCGAATAAAGTACATTTTTACATATGTATGTATGTATGTATTTATTTTTGCGTATTATATTGCGCAATCCAATTTCAAAGTACACACATTTTTTTTTACATATTTAACAATTGATATTTGTTGCTTCTGATAATATTGCTGCAGCTGCTGTTTCCAATTCATTCTAATTTCCAATGCTATAAAAACAAATGAAGTAATTATTTGTAAATTATTAAAAAGTATGACATGCGTCTTTCCATCGTTTTTTTGTTACCCTTTTTGGGATTTTCTTTTGGCGCTAATGACCTCCTTCGCACTCATTCCAAAAAATCAAGAAATGAAAGAAACTTTTTTCATCGCATTTAGGTAAACAAAAAATAACCCGAAAATGTGCGTTGGTGTTAGTGCATAGAGAAAAAATTTGTAGTTGTATTGAAATATTTGACACAAGTGCGTAGTTGTGGCTGGCAGGGAACTACATATACACCACACACTACACCATCAGAAGTTATACCGTATTCTTCAGCACATGATTGTTTGCAATTACAGATACAAGGTATTTTTTTAATTTTATAACGGTTTGATGACTCATGCCCAGCTCTTAAGCTTAGCTAAAATATGCCGTATTTTCTCTTTATTTTGCTCCATGTTTGCGACGCATTAACTCACGAACGACCTAATTGAAACAACAATCAATCAAACAGGTGTTAGCGCGTAAAATGACCTTTCAAAAAAGGTATAGCGTGACCCGATGCGACGAATAAAACTAGAACTACGCTCTCTCAGCGTCAACTAGCGAAAATTCCGCAAACCTTTTTTGACAACCTAATATATCATTTGCATGGTTCAATTTTACCAACACCAGATGAGCCGCATCAATTTCTGCAAATATAATATATTTCATTTCGTCGATGGTGGATCAGCTGAATGTGCCGTGCAATTTGCAGGGAACACAACAGTTAAGGAGACGAATTACTGAACAGTGGCAGGCATTTTTCACGCTAACAATACTATGGTTAATATGTTCAGAACAGAATTGGAACGAATGCCATCAAATACGCCCAAATTTGTACCCCAACAGGTGAACATGTACGAATATTCAATACACCCACCGTTAATTATGTTGCTGCAATTATTATCGATCCAATCACAGGTACAATATTCACACACTAATTATTGCTATAGCTACTATTATTATTGCTATAACTACTATTATTAGTTTCCATTACTAATTTATTTAATTTTGCATTTTCAGGCGAATCAACGAATAAAATGAATATGATGATTCCACACATCAGGAGAATGTCAATGTGATCTTCAGAATATTGAACGTCTGACGATTCTCCCATCATCTTATAGCGGAAGCCCATGCCACATGCAGGAATACGCTCAAGACGCTATGACGTACGTGCGAAATTATGGAACTCCGGATTTATTTACTACGTTCACATGCAATCCGAACTGGACGGAAATTGGACGTGAGTTGGAACCGGAACGGTTACACACGTTGTTATATGTACTCTGTGGAATGGCAGAAGCGTGCTCATATCCTCATTTGGTTGTTGAACAAATTACATTCAAATGAAGTGGGGGACACCATCACTGATCCCCATCTACACGACATTGTGACGACACAGATGGTGCATGGTCCGTGCAGTGCATTAAATCCATTATCGCTTCGCATGGCTGATGGAAAGTGCACAAAACGTTATCCGCGACCGTTAGTTGCTGAAACAGTCACAGGGAACGCTGGATATCTAGTTTATCGTCGGCGTTCAAAAGAAGATAATGGTCGAACTATCAAAGTTAAAGTTCAAAATCTTGACATTGAGATCGGAAATGAATTCATTGTACCATATTGCCCGCTGTTATCACAAATTTTCGAAACACATGCAAACGTTGAGAGTTGTCATTCGGCTAAATCAATCAAATATTTCCGCAAGTACGTTACAAAAGGCAGATTTCATATCTGATGAAAAACAAATAAGGGCTGTTGTACCAAAGGGCAGTGTTTTAGACCCAACTCTATACAGAAGATCTTCCAACAGCTAAAAAGTATTAACTTCAACTTTTGCGGATGCTATAGTGAGCCGTAACAACTGCCACATTTTAGCATCAAGTATATTAGCGGAGCATTTAAGTTCTGTCGAAGAATGGCTAGCCAACTGGCGTATAAATGTGAATGAACAGAAGTGTAAGCATATTACATTTTCGCTAAGACCAAAAACGTGTCCGGCAGTAAAAAATAACAATATTTTAGTACCCCAAGCGAATGAAGTAACTTATCTAGTAAAATAACTTGCTTTTAATTTTAAATTTAAATAAAAACTCCAAACTTAGCCTAGACAACAAAGTGCTTTTATATAATGCGGTCATAAGGCCGGTTTGGATGGATGGCATTCAACTATGGGGTGTGCAGCTAGTATTGATATAATACAAAGGTTCCAATCAAAAACGCTTAGAATAATCACGTGTTCACCTTGGTAGATGCGTAATGAAAATATCCATAAAGACCTTGGTATTTCTATGGTAAAGAAAAAGTAGAAGACAGCAGAATAAAATATATGTATATCTAATCTCCGAGGTCACCCAAACCCTTTGGCTAATGTTTCGGTACAATCCTGCGATCACACACGCCTTAAAAGAAGATACTTATATGCCTGCGTACTAATGAGCACCGTATCACCAAAACAGCTCAATTAATTGCTAGAGCTTATCTAGTTTTTAAATAGATTTAAGATTTAATAACTTATTGTTAGGCTGTTAAAACAAAAAGCAGATCCAATAAATAAAAAGATATTGCAAAAAAAAAATAAAACACATACACATGGAAAGTTTGTACTGCTTCAAACGAAATCAATGAAATTACCAAAGGACAGCCAGAACCGTGAGGAGTGCCGAAGCCCAGAGAATATTAAAGTTGAGATGGAGAATTCGAATTCCCAATCGATGACGATGAACCAGAGGTTCCATTGCCCAACCATGAAAAAGTTCGAATAGCAATTACCCATCTGAAGAACAGAAAAGCGGTGGATTTCCGGTCGTGCTATTAAAACACGACGGCAAAGAACTTATAAGGAGCATGATCAGCCTCTTTGCAGAATATGGCGCGACCTCCGACGATTGAAATTTAAGAGCGGTCTGCTCAATCTACAAAAAGGAAGACCTCACAATCCAACTATGTATATATTAGCCTCCTCAACATCACATATAAGGTTCTATCGAGCGTATTGCGTGAAAGATTAGCCTGCCGTCAACAAACTGAAAGAAACTTATCGGTGTGGCTTTAAGTTTAGAAAATTAATAACTGATCAGAAGTTCGCCATGCGTAAATCTTGCAAAGGACTCGTGGTAAAAGAATCGGCCACACCACTCCTTCGTCAATTTTAACCTTGGCGGCTCTTCCAGGCACCTGATGGTTCGCCAAGGGACCCTTTAAGTTTTACTTCATAAAATTTGAAATTTAATTTGTAAACTTTATATCAATATTTACACCAAATTAAAATGTAATAACGATGAAGATTCCAAATTTTCAGCACAAAACAAATTTCAATAGTCACTTGAAAATACAAAATTTTCCTTGAAATTATTTTTTCGATGCACTCTTACAAAAGTAAAAACGAAACTGACCGCAAAACTCACCCACACTGAGACAAAACATGACGGATATATTAAAGCAACATGCGTTTAAGGGTTAAAGCCGTTCGATGAGAAACAAGATTTCAGACAAGGCGACTCCCTTTGATGATGGTGATACCATTGGCCGTTAACAATTGAGAACTAAAGTCCTCTCTCGACGATCAAAACCAAACTCTATAAGTCAGTCATTATTCCCGTTCTCCTATATGGTGCAGAAGCATGGGTGATAATAACAAATTTCTTAAGAATCCATCCCTGTCAATATAACCGTACTGTTAAAAATTACTAAAAGTACAATAAATCAATAACTAAATGCGACAAAGACATAAAACTTTACACTCGAAATGGTATGAGAAGGCTTAATAAAAACTGTACGATGGGCTTGTCACCGCCAACTTTTAAGTTAAATCAAATTTCGCGGGACACTCACGTCCGCTTTCCACAAAATTTCAAATTCTTCTCACATTCCTATGTAACAGTGCATAAATCACGACTACTTCCCATATAATACATTTCCAAATTAAATTATTGTAATGGGATACAACTTTGCACGAATAATTACTTTGGGTGTACCACTTTAGGAGCAAAAATTGTTCAAACCAAACAAAACATGATTAAGTCCTTAGGTGTGGAAAGCTCATTTTGGCCCCAGTACCTATTGATGACATTTTACCGAAAATGTCGCTCAATGTGTAAGAGATTGTAACGTGGCTTTTACCACCTTACAATAATTTACTCCAACACTGTACACCGTTTATCCTTACCATACCCCAACATAGTCAAATAGTCTTCACTTCTATATTAGTGCTTTCCACCATTGACCAAAGCTGCGCTATGCTTCTATTTCACACATAGTGCTTTCCACCATACTAAACTTCTCCTCACTGCACTGACCAAAGCTGCGCTATACGGCTATATAAGCAAGCACTTCACACCGAATGCGATCATTTCTTACAGCTCGCCGAACAGGACGGTCAGACAGCAGAAAGCAATAATAGGCGGGGGTAAGTGGAGTAGCCAGTTGTGCACGCAGTAGAAGTTGGGTAGTTTGCTGGGATTCGCAGGCATTGCGTTGAAAAGGTATACACCTCATTGTGATACCAGTGCTCGCAGTGCCTTCGCTTCATACAGTGGAATTAGGTATTCGCAGGCATTACGTTGAAAAGGTATTACACCTCGGTGTGATACCAGTGCTCGCAATGCCTCCGCTTCACACAGTAGAATTAGGTATTCGCAGTCATTGCGTTGAAAAGGTATTACACCTCGGTGTGATACCAGTGCTCACAATGCCTCCACCGTATCACGTAATCGATGTCTTCGCAGTACGCGACCGTAGTCTCCGTTGCGCTGCGATACAGGGACATCACAGCTGCGCTGCCTCGAACAGCGTCACGATCGCAGCCCGCACACTAGTGCACCGACACAATACCTGCGCTGCCTGGAACAGCGTCAGTACCCCTGCTTGCACACGATAGTGCACCGTTACCTGACTAACGCGATGAACAGGCGACTCGCAGGTAAGACCAGAGAAAAGAGACTGTGCTAAAGACAGTTGCTAACCGTAGGTCAACGTGTCCGGTTGACATTCTTAATAATTTAATTCCTCCTTCGCAGGAGATCCCGTAAACGCTGCGCTGTGGGGTACAGTCAGCACCGCATCTGAAAGTGACTGCTCCTCACCAGAGATCACAGCGATACTTCACCTGACTCGCTATATACATATAAGCTGGTCTGGCTGTCCACATAAGGGGTGTGGATTTCATCACAAAAAGTGAACATTTTATTTGCTAAGGGTTCATGGATCCCAAGGCTGACCCTGGAGCGGCTGAGCATACCTCAGCTATAGACGAAACCCCATTACAAGATGTTATAGAAATTACGAGAGAATATTTTCATGATTATAGTTTATCTGTGCGTCAAAAATGTGTTGAATCCGGTCAATGCTTCACTTTAACCCCACATTCCTAATACAATAAACTCCCAGTAGACATTATACCGTATATATTGGCCAAAATGTGAGTTATTTCAATGAAAATGAAAGAGCGTGTTTTACTGATAACAGTGTGCCTTGGTACCTTAAATGGATAAAACTTCGCGAAAACTTAACCTAGCTCCATATAACCATCGGGTGACTTTACTCCATATGATTGGTGAAGGTATTAGGTTGTTAAATAGGGTGGGTCGATTCCGGACTTTTTTCAATTCGGGATTTGTAATAGTGCGGAAAAGTTACCTTAGTACTTCCTGATTCCAATGCAACTTTTTGTTTTGAGATAGGATTGCATCTTCAGCCCCAACTCCGGCCTTGCAATTTCGGAAATTCGCCTAAAATCGTGAAATTTATAAAACAAAAGTTATTTGTTACGTCATTTGCTACCGAAATGGTATATGTAATGTGGTATGAGATACGAGCAAAAATGCGGCGCGCCACAGCGCAAGGTGAAAATTGTTGCAGCTCTCAGCTAACCTGTATTGGTCACCCAGAACCCACCGCGTGGAGGTGGCTGCCCTTCGAGTTCCTCCCAAGCCCAACCCAACCAACCAAGCATATGCCAGGCTTATTTTAGTCTGAATCTGTGTCAAATTTATTGATAAAATCAGATTTTGTACTAAACTTTGGCACTTGTTGCCTAAATTTCAGTGTAGAGCGTATAAAACGATCACGAAATTGGGGGCCAATAACTTTAGGAGATGCCTTTGTCACCAGTTTGACAGTTCTCTCGACTGCCACGGTGTGAGAGGGGAATTCACTAAATTTCCATACCTCTGCAGTGTCACCCGACAGCACTTTTATGAGTTCTTCGTTAGAAACTGAACAAAAAACTGGTGGAACAGTCAAGGTAATAGTCTTCCAGTTAATCATGTCGTAATAATTATTAATTTTGGAATTCAGCTTTGGCACTTACATCTAACCCTTCCATTTACAGTGTCAGACTCTGCTTCTCTGGCTGCCAGAAGACGGTCAAGGGCCAACTTTCTGACTTCTATCCGTTCGTCAGTCATCATACTAAGGAGAATGTTTACTGCAAGAGCAAAGAAAGCATTCTGTTGAATGGATGAATCGACAACCTTGCGCAGTTTAGCAGGTAAGTATCTCGACCTTTKAATTGCAGCATAGAGATGGCGYGAGCCATCTTTKATTGAACTGTTGAATCTTATTGAGGACCACAAAGGTGAGTAAACTGTAAGTATGTACTTGACCAAAATCTTTATTTCCTTTGTTGGTTTGTCAGTAGAAATGTATAATCTCAGAATTGTATTTGCACAGGTGAGCCAGCGAGATCTGCATATGTTACCTGGATGCATCGACGCTAAATCTGAGGACCATTGACCGGAAATAACGGCTTCTAATATTTTATAGAGATAAGCTTGGTCTCTGCTAAGTTGGGTCAGATTAATAACCTCGGAAGGTAATGGGCAGGAAGGAAAACTTTCAAATTTGACAACAGGCAACTTCTCACAATTAGGGAGCAGTTTACCTATGTCGCCAGAGAATGTATTTAAACTCTTGGAGACACCATCTATGCGTTCAACGCCAAGAGAAAACGAACCCGATTCACCAATCGATGACGATGAAGCAGATATTCCATTGCCCGATCATGGGAAGTTCGAATAGCAATTACCGTCTGAAGAACAACAAAGCGGGCCGATGGATTGCCGGCCGAGCTATTCAAACAGGGTGACGAAAACTGATACGGAACATACATCAGCTTCTTTGTGAAATATGGTCGGACGAAAGCATGCCCAACCATTGGAATTTAAGTGTGATCTGCCCAATCCATAAAAAGAGAGACCCCATAATCTGCGCCAGCTAACGTGGGATAAGCCTGTTCAACATGGCACATAAGGTTTTATCGAGTGTATTGTGTAAAACATTAAAGGCCACCGTCAACAAACTTATTGGTCCTTATCAGTGTGACTTAAGAGTTGAAAAATTAACAACTGACCAGATATTTACCGGGCCCCAAAGTATGGAGAAGACTCGTGAAAACAAATCTACACATAACACCTCTTCATCAATTTGAAAGCTGCTTTCGACAGCACGAAAATGAGCTTCCTTTATGCCGCGATATCTGAACTTGGTATCCCCGCAAAACTAATACGGCTGTATAAATTGATGTTGAGCGACACTAACACCTCCGTTGGAATCGGGAAGGACCTTTAGTAGCCGTTCGATACCAATCCAGGTTTCAGACAAGGCGACTCCCTATCGTGCGACTTCTTCAGCCTGCTACTGGAGAAAATAATTCGAGCTGCAGAACTTAATCGAACAGGTAAAATCACTTATAAGAGTGTACGGCTATTGGAGTATGCCGGTGATTATGATATCACTGGTCCTATTATGTGACTTCTTCAATCTACTGCTGGAGAAAATAATTCGAGTTGCAGAGCTTAATCGAACAGGTAAAATCATCTATAAGAGTGTACAGCTGTTGGCGTAAGCCGATAATTATGATATGGTGCTCAACATTTGCGCCGTTAGTTCTGCTTTTCACAGATTGGGCAAGGAAGCAAAGGCTATGGGTTTGGCAGTGAATGAAGTCAAGATGAAATATCTCCTGTCGCGACTTGGCTTTCACGTCACTGTTGACAGTCATAACTTTAAAGCTGTAGATAGTTTCGTATATTTAGTAACCACCATAAACACCACTAACATGTCAGTCTGGAAATCAATGTCAGCATGGATCTCAGGAGAACKTGAAAGTTTGAGGACGAACTAGGAAGTTGGAAATAGAAGCGAAATAATTCTTGGTGAGTATATATAACTATAATAATAACTTATGGCGGCTAAATCGCCATAAGATAAAATTTTTATATATTATTACATTATATTGATGTTTTAAAAGAGATTATTAACATCTCTCAGCAACACTTATGTATATGATTTTGTTATTATTATTATAGGAGACTCCGGATATCCTCTTGAACCTTGGCCAGAGAATATAAAAAAATATATATTTATTTCCACTCTTACAAAATGAAGGTGTGCCAAAGAACTTCATTTCTTCAAAGAAAATTGATGACCTTCATGAAATTTGCATATTCGCATTTTTTCGTTATCATTCCCATATTTGCAGCAATAGAATTTCTATGGCATACATATGTAAACATATATTATTTCTTTGGCACATTTGTCTCTATTTTTACGAAAGCAAATGCGAGCCACATACATATGTACATACATACATTCATAATAACAAGTGCCGCACGCATCTCTCGCATCTGTCACGGTCAACCAATGGCCGAAGCTCTCGTATTGTCAAAAAGTCATCACAACGTTGTGTAGTTGGTAAAAAATCCGAGCTGTGCCGAAAGAAACTAACAAATGATCGCCGATTTTTACCGCTTCCCTTGCCGCTGTAACAGCTTCGCCTACAAACYAGCGTAAATATGTATACATATGTATGAGCTTGCATACATATCGACGCTGATTTTTGCGAGCCACGAAAAAATATTTTAGAATTGGCAAATATTGGAAATCGACAACAGTTATGTTGCCACTTTTTCACTTTTTTCTTAGAACAAACACCAGAAGGTATTCAACTTATGATTTTTAGCTTTTGTCATCGTTGCGAAAAGGCGCTTGTAGGCAAAGGCATGCCTACATCATTGGGGAAATGTTACGGCGTCTGTTTGTATGAATGAAGCGAGGTCGCTTGTGGAACTTGTGCCTGCGTTTATGAATGAAATCGTTTTTGTTGTAAAGTTTACTACATTTGGGCTTCGCCAATTTGGCTGCCATATTGACTTGGCATGCTTATGCTATTTGAGACAGTTGTTTTGTTTTTTGTAGAACAACGTTTCAATTTTTTGTTGGTGACATATTCACATGTGTACGCATATGTATGTTTGTATGCTTGTGCATTATTTGTTGGTAAGTGTATACAAATATATGTACATATAAGTATATATGAATTTATGAACATGCATATTAATGCGCGCACATGTAATATATTGATAAGTGATAAAAACATTATTTGAATTTCTGAACGCGCACATGCGTTTACATGCAATCATATATATAAGCAGATTAATATTATCTAATATTATCTAATATTAGTATATTAGAGTATATTATTAGATTGTCAAAAAAGTCTTGCGGTATTTTTATTGAATTTTCTATTGTTCATAAAATAGTTTTTGATGATTCATGACCATGCTACTATGCCAGGCTACTATGCCGGTCTCTTTAGACCAATTCAGCGATTTTATCAAAATTTTCGACAACAGGCCTTCCGGAGCGTGGCGCATCTTCGACCACCTCTACACCAGAACGAAAACGTTGAAACCATCTTTGTGCGGTGGAAATGGAAACTGTATCGGGTCTATAAACTGTACAAATTTTATTGGCGGCTTGAGATGCATTTTTGCCTTTATCGTAGTAGTACTGTAAAATATGCCGTATTTTCTCTTTATATATATTATAGTAAGCATAATTCAATATTCCATTATTTGTTTGGGTAATGAGAATAATTGGAAATTTAATGTTCTGGCATTTTATCACTTAATGTAATGCCAAAGGATCTTTAGTAATAAGCCGTTATATATAGAATTGTAAGAATATAAATATAAGTGAATAGACTAATAAAGATCAGAAGGTATTCAGAAGATATTCAGAGGGTGATCAGCGAG